TTTTTTTGTTTTATATTCAGCAACATGATGATCATCTGCCTTACTTTTTGTGCTCTGATTTTTGTTCAGCCGACGACTGGTCAATCTGTCGGATTAACTCAAAAGTCGCCCAATTTAGAGATTTGGACGGTTGGGGGATTCACGAGGGAATCATCAAATCTTAGAGATGGAATGCAAGGAATAACCACTAGAAGGGCGCCGGCTACTGAGGGTGGAATTCGCAATGGAAACACTCAAGATTCGCCCACTACTGTGGGTAGAATTCACATGGGTACCACACAAGAGTCGCCCACTAGTGACGGTAGAATCCACGATGGAATCACACAAGAATCTCTCATGGCCAGTACAAAGGGTAGGATGTTCGAGGGAACACCGCGGACTCCACATCCAGAAGATTCACTGCGCGAGGGATCGGCAAACAGCACCGAGTCAGCGGAAACAGCGGAGGGAACTTCTTCTCTCCCAAACGTTACTCTCACGCCGTATAGATGGCTTTGTGCCAGAACTGGATCGAAGCAGGTCAACGTTAAGGTCCACTGCAAATGCGACCCTCTGTGTTTCCTGTATAAAGACTGCTGTTATGGATTTACAAAAAATACGGCAGTGTGCGGTGCGTCTGTCAGATTAATAAGGGCGCAAAGTACCTCCGATTCCCTAACGTTTCCTGGAACCAACTTAACAGAAACTCAAAGTAACAGTACCACTTCCACTTCATCCCCTAACAAAACATCATCTTATGTAAGAAAAAATGAACAATTCGACCCTGCGTCTATTTCCCTGGCACATCAAAGCTCTTGCAGAAGAAGTCCAACATTACGTCCACTAAACCAACAAACCGGTTTACCCCATATGGACAAATTTGGATTGAGCTTTTGGATGGTGGACCAGTGTCCGTCGTCTTGGCTGGAGGAGGAAAGTCGTATGAAGTGCACTAACATCTCAGGTACTAGTCTCATAGAAGGCGCGCTCTTGTACCAGCCAGTCACCAACCCAGATGCTATGATCACCTTCAGAAACAAGTACTGTGCAACCTGTAATGGTATCGAGAACGGTTGGGAACCGTGGGAACTTGCTGTCTATTGCCATAGGGGACTAGCTGACGACTTTGCAAATTGCAGCTCCTCGGATTGTGTTTTAAGAAAGTTAAAGGACCTCAATTGTAATGGTATTTTCGTGTCAAAACCGGAATGGAATTTAAGAACATGCTTCCGGGAAGTTGAGGACCGTGCCTTTGGTCCTTGTAAGTTGACTTTAATCAATGGAAGCTTGCATCCTGTACCTCGGCCACGCCCCCTGCACTCAGCCTTAAGAGATGCCTGCATAGCGTACAACAATCCTGTCATTACCGGTTCTGATGAAAGTTTCAAGAACTACCACTGCATACTTTGTTATCATACAGAACTAACACTTTGTGAAGGTGAGTGGAGCGTTTTACTATTAGAAATTTTATATGTAAAACTTTACAGAACCGTACATAAATGACCTTAATAAATTTAATAGTAGTTTTTTTTTTTTTTTTTTTTTTTTTTTTTTTTGTCAGAGCTTTAATATGTTTCGCCTAGTGGTATATTTCAATTTCTTCTTTATACTAATTGTAAAATAACCGGCTCGTATTAGTAACGTAATTGTCCCATTACCAAAAGAATTAAAGCTAATGTGCCTAAATCACCCCACACATTACTTTCATCACGTATGGAGTCGTCCCAAAAACTTTTGTCTTTCCATGCGATTTGTTTCAAAGGAACAGTCGATTGTAGGACCAAATCTTTCTGATTTAACGGGGTTAGTATAGTTTTAGTGCGTCGTTTTCGCGGGTGGCGTCTTGTAGATTTAAACCTTTAGAGAAATTTAGTTGAATGGGGTGAATTTCGATTTTACCAATTTGATGAATTACGCCCGTCAAGATGAAATTGTCTCCTTGAATTTTGCAACCATTTTCCATATTTAATAAATACGTTCCCGGTCGAACTTTTACGGATTGTTCTGCGGTGTTATCACATAGGGTATACAAAGTCTCCCCCCACGTTACAATGACATACTGTCCAGGATTAATTTTGGTTGCGAATCCTTTATCTAAACTTTTGGAAATTTTGATATTACACGCTTCCCGATGTTTCTTACGTTACTAATACGAGCCGCGTGCCAATGCCCGCGACTCAATTAAAAATAATTACACGTATCAGAAATTTTCTGCGGTCTGCACAAAGTGTTGACTATAAACAACTTGGTTATTTTATAATTATCCAAAATAACGATGTTTCCGAACCCTTTTTTGTCGAGTGTTTATATATAATAGTTTTTGCAAAGGCTCATTGTGTATGGTTTAAAATCATTCAGAGTTAAGATGGATGAGTGTAAATTGGTTTATTTCTAATTTTGTGATCACTTGTCTGTAATCTACAAAACCTGACTTTACACCTAGACACTTTGTTGGAGAAGTCGCACGGCCGCCAATTAAAAAAAAGATAAGTTTACGATAAAATTAGCTCTTCGAACGTGTTTTATTAGGCTGGGCAATATTTTTACTACATGTATACTGCAGTTACTTTGCCCACGAGACTCGAGATGAAAAACGCGTTAGATTTCGACTCCAGCCACCTTAAACGAATATAAGTTTAAATTACAGCAACAAGATCGGT